TTATCTCATTTGATCCTCACAGCATCCTTGGGAGGTAGGTGCTACTATATTTCCTATTTTACTGCTCCTGCTTCTTTTACTACCACTGCTACTGCTACTGACTACTGTTATTACCACTACTGCTACTGTGGATTACTATTACTATTACTACTAGTACTGACTACTATTGTTACTACTCCAACTCCTACTGACTACTATGACTACTATTACTACTACCACTGGCTACTACTGCTGCTACTGACTACTACTACTGACTATTATTACTACTACTGCTATTACTACTACTACTACTACTGACTACTACTGACAATTACTACCTCTAGTACTGACTGCTACTGCTATTATTGATTACAATTACTTACTATTACTACTGAATACTACTACTGCTAATTACTGCCTACTATTTCTACTACTTCTACTACTGACTACTACTGCTACTGTTGACTACTATTACTGCTACTATTACTACTACTGATTACTACTACCACTACAGCTACTGATTACTACTAGTTATTATTACTACTATTCACTACTACTACTACTACCACTACTTACTATTACTACTGTTAACTACTACCACCTAACAATTTATATAGCACTTACTATATGTGCCAGGTACTATGATAAGCGCTTTACAATTATCACAGTCGATTCTCACAACAGCCCTGTGAAGTGGGTGCTTTATTTTTCCCATTTTACAGATTAATAATAATAACAATAACAGCATTTACGTAGTGCTTACAATGTGCCAGGCCCTGTGCTAAGGGCTCTACAACTATTACATTAGTTGATTCTCATAACACCCCCAGGATGCAGATGCTATGATTACTCCCATTTCACAGTTGAGGAAACTGAGACAATCAAAGATTAAAGGATTTTCCTAAGCTCACATGGCTAGTAAATACCTGAGGTTGAATTAGAACTCAAGCCTTCCTGACTCCAAAGAGAATGCTCTATTCGTGGTTCCACCTGCCCCTGAGAGTCTGCAACATTTATCTGCACAGGATCACACAACCAGGATGTGTCAGAGACAGGACACAAACCTTATTTTCCTTGACTTCAAAACTAGTTCTCTATCTACATCTCCATGATCACCCTCTATCTCCATTTCACAGATAAGAAAGCTGAGGCTGAGAAAGGCATAGTGAATTGCCCAAGGTCACACAGCTGTAAGTAACTAAGGCAGGATCTGAACCCAGGTCTTGCTAACTTCAAGGTTAATTCTCTCTCCACAGCTTTGCCAGGCTGCAGCCTCTATGTCATGTTTAAGGTGTTACCCCCTAAAGAAAGTGTTTTCTCTGGCTTCCACTGTGAGAAAAGCACTTTGAAACCTCAAGAGAAGTGAACCGCTGTTAATGTGATTCAGTTCTGTAGGCAAACCGACCACCTCCTCCATCCATCCCCTGCTCTGTCCTGGGGACAGTGGGGGCATATAGAAAAGAAATATATGAGCTGGTTTCCATGGTTCACAGCTCTATTGAGAAGACCAGGTATAGACAGATGAAACTGTTGAAAATCAGTGCCCAGCCAATAAATGCCCAGATGGAACTGGGGGCTACAGACTGCGAGTGACCTCCCCAAAGGCCCTTGTCTGCTTCTGCCCTCCTGAACTGCTGCCCATCCCTATCCTGCCTCCATCCCCGACCAGCCCCACCCCAGTTTGCTTACTCACTAAGTTAACTCTGGGCAAGCAGTTTCTCAGGTAGACCAAGGGTACAGCACACAGAGCAATGATCCTGGAGTCAGGGAGTCCTGAGTTCAAATCCATCTTCAGACACTTAGTAGCTATGTGAGCCTGGACAAGTCACTTAACTTTTATCTGCCTCACTTTCCTCAACTGTAAAATGGGGGTAATAATAGCACCTGGCTCACAGCATTGGGGAAAGGGTCAGATGAGATAATAATTGTAAAGTGCTTAGCACAGTGTTTGGCACATGGCGGGCCATAAAGGCTCATTATAGTAACAATAATAACAATAAAGGCTCATTCCTCACTCTGTCCTCAGTTTCTTCATCTGGAGCACAAGGGACATTCAGAAGGCAGCTCATGACGTGCCCAGCTCCTACAGGTTAAGGGTATTCACTGGACTGGCCCCGACTGCTCAGGTTCCCCTAGGTTATGTCCAGCCCCTGCATCCCACAATCCACAACAGGAGAAGAACATCCCTTGACTGAAGAGGGGATGCAATTCCCATACAGTCATGCCCTATAGCAGCTTTTATCTGCCACCTTCATGACACGCCATCAGTCAGATCCAGTAGCATGAGAAGCAACAGCCCCATTCCACAGATAAGGAAACTGATGGTGAGAGGAGGAATTCCTTGCCCAGCTGAGAAGCAATGCAGTCAGAGCTCAGTTTGAGGTCTCTTTCCACTGGCATGCTGCCCTGTTCCCTTGACCTCCGTTGACCATCCCCATCCTGGGAGTCCCCAGGACTCTAGTCCCCATGTCTGACCCAGGCCACTGCCAAAGGAGAGACACACCCGGCTTGATAACTGGGGTTAATCTTGTTTTACTTGGGACAGTGCTCAGGGACTTGAATAAAGGGGGCCCAGAAGCCACAGCAAAAAGACCCCAGATGTTTCAGAATCCCTAAAAAGAGGAAGAGAGGGCTGAGCTCTCTGCCAACAGTTCCTTGGAATCCCCTGCCCATGGCTCTCTCCCAGCCTCCCTTTCACAGATTCAAGCATTTCGGGGCCTTCTAGTCTGACCCAGCCTTGCACAATAAAACCCTCCAAAACACTCCCCATCATGGTCACCCAGACTGTGCTTGGAGCTCCTGGTGACGGGAAAGCCACGAGCTCCAGGGCTTCCCATTCCACTGTGGGACGGCTCTCATTATGCTGAATTCTCTTCCTGAGGTCAGGTCTCAATGAGTTTGCCTCAGCTTCCTGTCTTACTCTAGCTGTGCTCCCCGGAGCCAAGCAGAACAAGGCCTTCTTGTGCCTGGTAGCTCTTCCAGGGTCTGAAGACATTGATCCTATCTCCCCACCCCCAGCCTCCTCCTCTCCAGGCCAACCATGACACAGACTCAACGCCCCTCCCCATCCCATCTCCTGGTGGTGCCTTTAGTTGGTCAATGCCCTTCCTAAACCAGAACTGAACACCATCCTTAAGATGGGATCTGAGTAAACCCCTTTAGGGCAGGAGCGATCCTTTGCCTCTGTATCTCCAGAGCTTAGCACAGTGCCTGCCACATTATTGAATGAATGAGGAATTAATCACCTCCTCTTTTTTTCTGGGTGATATGACTCTCTTAGTGCAGCCTCAAATCAACTTCTCTTTCCTGGTTGGCCACTTGCCTCCTCCATCCTGTACTTCAGACATTGGCTTTTTGAGCTCAACTGTAAGAATTTACATTTATCCCTAGTGGACATCACGTGATTAGATTCAGCCCAATGCTCTAGTCTACTCTACCAAGATCTGTTTGGATCCTGACTCTGCTATGCAGGGCGCTAACGATCCCTCTGCACACAGAGCACACTTTTAAGCTTCCTTTGCAATGTCAGCAGTTTCTCCATCTCTTAAGTCTAGACAATCAGCCAAACAGTAAGTCAAGCCCTGATGTGTGGTGTTTGTACTGAAATTTTAACAATTGATTCTAGTGGGTCACATAGCGTGAGCTTTTTTTATACTAACTTTCTGAGCACCTATTTCCTATATATTCCCGAACGCAGGTCTTTGCTTCAACCAAAACCTTGAGGACAGATAATAGTAACCCTTCTCTATTTTTAACCAGTCCCAGGTTGTTTAACAACCACTGTTTTGTAAAAGTTTGAGATCTAGAAGTGCTATTTCCCTCATAACTACCTCTTCTCATCATTTCCCTTGATAGTCTAAATCCTTTGTTTCTCTAAATGAATTTTGCTATTCTTTTCTTTTATCTATACATTTGCCCTTTGATAGTTTAATTGGCAGAGCATTTGATCAAAATGAAGAGAAACCTAAGTATGTTAATTGGCTTAGTATTAATAATGTAAATTAGCTTTGGTGGTATTGTCACTTTTATGATATTGACACAGGCTAGCTATAAGCATTGGATATTCCTTTGGCCACTTAAGTTGTTTTTTATTTCTTCAAGGAGCACTTTGTAATTGAATCAATGCAAGTATTTTATGTGTCCCAGTAGATTGATCCCCAAATACATTTTGTAGTGTTTGTTGAATGTGATTTCCCTTTTTATTGTCATTACATTTAAAAGCTATTGACTTTTATGGGGTTATTTTGTAGCCTGCAAATTTGCTAAAGCTATTAATTATCTCAGCATCTTTGTTGATTCCCTAGGCTTGTCTAAGTAAACCATCCTGTTGCCAATCAATTAAGATAGTTTTATTGTGTATGTCTTTGCTTTTTAGATAGGTTTCTTGTAAGCATCTGATTAAGGAGTTTTGTTAGCATAAGCCTTCTATCACTTTCTTTCATTTTACTGGATTGTTTGGTCATTTCACATTTAAGGTTATGAGAACTAGTTTTATACTTTCTTCCGCTTGGTTTTTTGGGGGGTGGGCAGATTAAGATTTGTTCCTATTCTTTAAAGGCACTACTTTATCTCTTTGGGGAAAGAACATTGGATTTAAAGTGAGATGACCAGAGGTCTAGCCCCAGCTCAGACACTTGGGTGACCTTGGACAGGTCATAAATTCAAAATATTAAGAGATAAAAGAGACCCTGGAAAATCAGTTTTCCTACTTGCAAAATGGGGTTAATTCTACTGACCATCCCCCTCCTACCTATCTCTCAGGGTGGTTGCAAAGATCGAAGGAGACGATGTCCATCATGAAAACCATCACAACAACTCCCATTCTGGCTATATTTTAATATTCAGAAGACACTTTCCGCACAAGCCCCTTGGGAGGCAGGTGGGTAGGGGATTAATTCAGATCTTATCATCATTACCCCACCCTCACCCCACCCCCAGCCAGGCTATGTTTCCAACCCCTCCACCCCCTCACCTCGCAGCCAGCGAAGGAGGAAATAGTCATCAGGGTTGGGCACGTCGACCAGCACCTCCTGGACATTTTTTCGAAACTGCAGAGAGACAACTGGGTCAAGATCACTGGCCCTGATCCCTGGGGCCTGGAGTCTTGCCTTGGGACCATCAGTCAGCTCACTTCCATTCAAGGGCCATAAGAAGCCGAGTGAACCCAGAGAAGGGAAGATTGGGAGGTGGGAGGGGGAGGGGAGAGTGATGCCTGTCTCCCACTGCTCGGGCGGCTCTGTCACATGGGAGAGGGATGAGATTAGCCTGATTCTGCCCAGCCCCACAAGGCAGGAACAGGAACAATAGGGGAAGGTTCAAAGGGGCTGATTTTGACTCAGTGCCTTCAAGCTAAGACAGAGTAACCACTTGGATGACACCCTGAATAGGGGTTTTCTGTGTACCTATATATGTGTATGTTGTCCCGTTAAACGAATGTAAGCGGGGCAGCTAGGTGGCTCAGTGGCTAGAGCGCCGGCCCTGAAGTCAGGAGGACCTGAGTTCAAATGCGCCCTCAGACCAAAACGCTTGACACTTACTAGTTGTGTGACCCTGAGCAAGTCACTTAACCCCAATTGCCTGAAAAAAAAAAAGAATGTAAGCCATAGTCATACCCCAGATTTAGAGCTGGAGGGGACCTTCTAGACACCATCCAGTCCAGACCCTTCACTTACAGGTGAGGAAACTGAGGCAAACAGAGGCTGAGTGACCGTCCCAGGGCCCCACAGCTAGGAAGTGTCTGAGGCCGAATCTGAAGCCCCATATTCCTGAGTCTAGGTGGTGTGCGCTCTCTGCCGGGCCTGGCTTGAGGGCAGGAACTGGGTCATTTCTGGCTGTGTGTCCCCAGCACCGAACACAATGCAGCCAGAGACGCTTAATCAAGGCTGCTAGCTGATTGGTTGACTGATGTGCCAGAGGGGATTCTTGCGGAGGGCTCTGGTCCTCTCCAGTTCTAAAATTCCATGATTTGCCCAAGACCACTCAGCTAGTAAGCAGTAAAGCCGGGGCTTAAATCCTGATATTCGGGCTTCACTCCCGCCCAGTGTCTGGTCCTCTTGACCTTCATGTATGTTAATGGATTTAAAAACACAGGCTAGGACACGTGACGTCGAGTGATCCCTATAGAGCCATTCTCTCCTTCCCACACAGATGGCTCACACTGAGGCTGAGTCACTGGGCTCATGGGGGTCCACCTGGACCCCAGGCTACAGAGCAGAGGGCTAAGCCAGGACACTGAGGGCTGGGAGGAGAGGCTAGGGACACCTGAGGAGCTCATCCAAGCTTGCATCTCAGCCTCCCACTCTTCCCCCCATCCCACCATCCCTTATTCACTTCCTAGGGACATTCATCAATAATAACAGCCTTCATAGACAATCAACGGGGCTTTGGGGACCACTGAGGTCAGAGCTACCATTTTATAGACTGGAAAGCTGAGGCCCCGAAGGCAGGCACTCCGAGGGAGCAGGAGGGGCGAGGTTAACTGGCTTCCTCCGGGTCATATGGCCAAGGAGTAGCTGAGCAGGGATGCTCTTCACGTCCCTCTGTCCCCACATCCCAGAGTTCTCTCCCCTAGGTGACAGCAATTGCAGAAACCCAGGTGAGAGGTGATGAACAGGAGCCCAGGAAGGAATGAATGAATGGAGTGATGAAAGAGCTAAGTGGGGGAAGGTTCATGAGGCCTTTTGGGGCGGCTGCCGTGGCCGCACTCTACAGAATGCAGGTGGAATGGGGGGAGCCCTGAGCATGGAGTCAGAAGAACTGAGCTCAAACCCAGACCCAATGCCTGCTCGGTGTGGGCGCACGCACCCTGAGAGTCCTGTCCTAGGCCTCGGGCTATGATCCAAGCCTTCCAAACTCAATGTCACCCCTCAGAAGTGGTTCCCCCAGAGGGACTTTGAGAGCCCTCAAGGCATGCTCAAAGCCATGGTGAGGCATCTGAGGAGAACACCGACTGAAAACAAACTAATTGAAATTAACCCTCCTTTGGTTCTGAAACCATTAAGGATGCACAGCCTCTGGACCCCAGTGGGATCCATGCAAGGGTGGGCTACTTGTGGGTGGACTCCCCGGGAAGTTTTCTGGAGAACAGACTGAGAGCTGGAAGCCCAGGGGGGTCAAACTCCTCCTCCCCCGAGGCCCCTGCCAGGTCACCGTTTTGGACAGGGGCATGGGCTGCCCATACCAGGTCTGGCCTTCCTGCTCCCTGGGGAGAAGGGGCACATGGCCAGCCCAGCCTCCCTGTCCAGGGCTCTCCCTGAGCCCCCAGGCCTGGCATTATGAGGCGGTATTATAGAGCCCACCCTAAAGGCAGTGGTTCTGAAGTGAGTGGACTGCCCCTGACACTGCCTGAGGGACTTTGAGCAAATCGCTTAATCTGCCTGGGCCTCAGTTTCCTCAGTAGAAAACTAAGTGAACTCTGGGCTCCCTTTGTAGCCTCCCTGCGAGGCTGTGAACAAAAGGGGAGAGTGGGAGCCTGGAATTCTAGCTGCTAGGGGCGTTGGAGCACATGCCTCTTTGAACAGAGAGGGAAACTGAGGCCCGGAGAAGGCAAGGGGCTTCCTCTGCTCACACAGCTTCACAGAAGCCAAGGCAGAATTCACACCCAGCTCCTTTGACCCTAGCTTCAGGACTCTCTGCCCTGTACAAGCTAGAAGCAGGGAGGCCGAGAAGGGATGGAGCTGGAGCCTCAGGGCACTCTCCTGGTTCAGAGGGGAGGTGTTGGGATGGGGGTACAGGGCTCACCTGGGCCAGCGCCTCCTTCTGCTGAGGGCTCAGGTCCCCAACCCTGCCGCTCATGGTGCTTGCAGGGAGATGCCTCACCTCCGTGCCACCAGGACAGCCTTTTCTCTGGGTTGGAAGAGGGAGACGATTTCGCTCCTCCCCTGGCCCAGAGCCCAAACTCTGGTTTGGGTTTGGGGTGTGGCTAAGGGGTAAGGAGGTGCAAGGAAGCCCTTGGCCCAACCTGAACTGGCACCTCCTGGTGCAAGCTGAGCTCCTTCGTTCCTAGCCAGCTCCTCAGCGCCTCCACCCAACTGTTGTGTCTACATCCCAAGGTGTCTTTAACTATTTACAGGCTTTGCAGTTTGCTCACCTCAGAGCAAAGGGCACAAAGGTCTCTCCAGCAGCCTCAGTTTCCTCATCTGTCAAATAGAGATTGAAAATAGCAAATACAAAAAGTATTATTATCAGACCTAGAGTAGAAAAATTCCTGAACGTGAAACCTGGGCTGGAGTCTTGACTTTTATAACCTGTGTGGTTCTGGGCCTGTCACTGATCCTCTCCCAGCCTCAGTTTCCTCATTTGTAAAATGGGAATATTATTAGCACTAACTTCCCAGGGTCATGAGAATGGAATTGAGCTAACATATGTGAAGCACTTTGCAAACGTTCAGGTACTACATAAAGTTAGCTAGTAGTTAATTAAATGGAAATTAAAAGTAATTAAAACGGGAAGGCTAAACTAAGTGACCTCTCTGGTCTCACTTTAAATCTAATGCCCCATGAACTTGAGTCCCTTCACAGAACCCCAGGATTGGAAGGCTCCTCAACAGTCACCAATCTACTGAGGACATGACCAAGAAGCCCCAGTAGAGGACATCCAGGGTATTCAAGCATATTTCAGCCATGGTTGGTACAATTTTCCCATCTGCAAAGTGGGGATATTATCATTGCACTGCCTTACTTGGCAGGGTGGTTGGGAAGAAAACCTGCTGTAAAGTGTGGAGCCCTCTTGAGGTATAAACTGCTGTTATTTTTATGGAGATAGGGTCCTGACCTATGATTGCATTGCTATGAAGAGTTCCTGGGTAGCACCCTTCCTCATGGATGTTTGTGAAGGAAGGAAGGTTATAAGCATTTATTAGGTAAATGCCAAGCACTTTACAAATAGCATCTCATTTGATCCTTTACAAAGACCCTGGGAGGCAGCTGCTATTATTATCTATATTTTACAGATGAGGAAACTGAGGCAGACAGAAATTAAGTGATTTGCCAGGGTCACACAGCTAGTAAATATGTGAGCCTGGATTTGAACTCAGGTCATGCTGTACCCCCAGCTGCCAAACAGAGGAGTTTTGTATGTGATGTAGGGAACATAAGGAGCGATGGTGCTTATTAAGTAGGGACAATGACATGATCAGTCCTATGTTTGGAGGAAATCGCTTTGGCAGCTGTGTGGAGGAGGGAGAGGCTTGAGGCAGGGAGGCCACCTAGGAGAAGGAGAAGGTGGTTGTAAGAGTAGAGACCAAAGTCATGGAGGCCAAGAAGACAAGGTTCAGCAATTGTCAGGATGTGTGGGATGAGGGAGAGTGGGAGACAATGACGCTGAGCTTGTGAGGGGTGACTGAGAGAGTGCTGCTGCCCTCAACACGATGAAGAGCTTAGGGAAAGGGCTGGGTTTCTTTTGTATGCGTTGAGTTCAAAACATCGAGTCAAGATGTCCACTAGGCAGCCAGTGATGAAGTGTTATGGATGGTAAGAAGGAGGTTTGAAGAGAAAGAGGATGAGTTCTGTTTGGGGTGTGCTGAGGTCAAGGGGTCTAAGGGACATTCTATCCAAAATGTCCAGCAGGCAATTGGAGATAACGGAACTGGAACTCAGGGGAGAGACTTGGACTGGATATACAGATGTGGGAGTGATCTACAGGGAGATGCTAATTAAATGGGGGGTGGAGCTGAGGTCTCCCAGAGGGAGAGTGTAGAGAGGATGTAGGACAGGGCCAGGCACTCACAGCTAGGAGGCTTGTCAAAAACGATGACCTAGCTAGGACGACGGAGAAGATGACATCTACTCGTTTACATGGAAGGAGGACCGGGAGAAATCAATGTCCCCAAAACCCAGAGAGGAGAGAGCGTGGAGAGCTGCCCGGGAGAAGCTGATCCAAATGTCACCACCACGTGCTCATGGCACCGATGAGTTCTGTCTTCACACTGCCTGCCAGGGCAGGTGGGGGAGGGGGGGATGGCAATTATTTGGAAGAGGGACAAACTTTGGGGAGGTTGACCTACCAACAACGTCTCAGCACAGACACTCTGGTCAGAGTAAACAGTGGGAGGATGCTTGAGATCACTGTCAGCATCTTGACAAGGGATGGATTTCTCCCAAGAGATCTTGGTGTGTGAGGAACCCACAAGATGGCGGCACTGGAAAGCCATCTGTACCAAGGGGTAGAAAGTGAGAGTCTCAGATGATCCCCCTGTAAAATGAAGGTTACGGATGTACTGGGTGGCCATGAATGCCCCTTGCAGCTCAGAGAATCCCCGAATGACAGAGTTAGGAAGACCAACGCCTAGAGAGCTAGGATAGCATATGCAAATGCAGTGTGCTATAGCCTTCACAACAGCCTTGCCTTATGATCTCCAGTGAGGGGGAGCCCTCCCAAGGCAGCCCTTGCACTGGTGGACAGCTCTTCTAGGAAGGAAGCTTGGATGAGCCTGGAGTCAGGAAGACTCATCTTCCTGAGTTCAAGTCCAGCCTCAGACACTTACTAGCTGTGTGACCCTGAGCAAGTCACGTCACTCTGTTTGCCTCGGTTTCCTCATCTGTAAAATAGTAAATGACTCCAGTATCTCTGCTAAGAAGACCCCAAATGGGGTCATGGAGAGTTGGATGTGACTGAGAAACAACAACAATGAAACTACCCCCCAGTGTTCCTAGTTCTGTCCCCTGGGACAAACAAAACAGAGCTAATCCCTCTTCTAGGACTGGAAGACAGCGTTCTCATCCCCTTTGAGTCTCCTCCTCTGCAGGATGAACATGTCTGCTTCCTTCTCCTTGATCCTTCTGGACTTCCTGGCCTGGATCAAGGCCCTCTCCCACCCCGCTGGCCCTCCCCTGGATACCCTTGTCAATGTCCTTCCTAAACCGGAGTGCCCAGAAGTGAAGCCAAGCCCCCAGTGGGGTAGAGCCAGGGCAGCAAAGGGAGGTTATCCCCTCCTCCCCAGCCCTGGCCACGGCTTCCCTCCATGGTAGCCACAGACATTCTCTGGGTCCTTAGCAGCCACATAACCCTGATTCTAGCTGATCTTGCAGTCCCCTTTCAGAGGGACATTACTGAGTCCTGGCAACCCCTGGGGCTGGGCCTCCCACCTGGAATCCCTGACCCAGGAGTGAGGCCTTCCTCTGTGGGTGAAGGCCCTCCTCAGGTTCCCTTTCTCCGACCTTTGGCAGGATGAAGAAACATTGCAGGGGAAAGGTTGTCACTTGCCTTGGAGGCGTCCCACTCCTCCACAACCAAAATAGGCTCGGGCAGGTGTCCATGACCTGATTGGCCCTCCCATAGATCACTGGGAACGTTGAGTAGTATCTGTCCCCTGGAAACATCTGATAGCTAGGAAGATGGGATGTTAGAAAGGTCCTTAGAATGTGGAATATGGGAACTGGGATGGACTTTAGAACTGGGATGGACTTTAGAACAGGGAATGTCAGATCTGAGAGAGGCCTTAGAAGGTCAGGGCCGGGTGGGGTCTTGGAACATGGAATGTCAGAGCTGGGAGGGGTCTCAGAACAAGGA